GCCAGCCCGCTCAGAGATGTGTATAAGAGACAGTTAATATAGACATAAGCGTAGTTTTGCCTGCTCCATTGTGTCCAAGCAGAGCGGTAATTTGTCCTTTGTACAAGTCTACGGATATTCCTTTCAGGGCATGGACTTTCTAGAATATAATAACGTGACAATATGTATATTTACACATATATATAAATAAAAATGTAATATTTCATATAAATATGAAATTCAAACTCTTATTACACATACAATAAGATAAATGGTCTAAAAACGAGTAACAAGTAAGAAATAATAAACTAAGTAAAATAATAGTAACTTTAATGACCGAAATTTAAAAAAAAATTATTTACTTGACGCAACATTTTCTCGCTTGAAACCGAAGAAATAGTTATATTCCATCTATTTATCACATCTTTGGAAATTACATCTTCGAAATTATTCATTTCTATCAATTTGGATTGTTCGATTTTCACAATACTCAATCGGAACATTTTATATATGCATAGTATATTGGTTGCTTGATGACCCGTTCCTTAAGTTTAATATTTGCATTAAGATAAATTTACATATCTATGTTATTGAACTGACTTTTTGTAAATTATATATATGGTTGCTATTGTTATAATTAACTGAAGAGAAGATTCTTTGAGTTCAAAACGTGTCCTATTTTATAATAAGCTTAATTTTTATCAATTTGAATACATCTCACTTTTTGCTCATTACCTTGGTCATTTATCTTATTATATTATGTAATATTCATTTTTTTATGTAAACATACAGATTTTCGAAACCAGCATGTTGTATAAGACTTCTTAAGATCACGTATTTGTATTCCAGGTGTAAGTGCACCACCTAATACCGGTTCAAAGTCTTCGTTAGCCTTATCGTAATCAAATTCAGTAGCTTCTTCATTAAGAGCTACTTTATTCTTCCTCAGACACTAAAATATAATATATAAAAATATTACATCTCACAGCACACATAGCATTTTCCTTGAATGCTATTTATGATTCTTGCCTTCAAAAAATATAATGGATCCTTTCGGACTCCATATTTTCCAGGAAGTACAGCATTTATATATACTGCAAGTGTAAAATGTATCACAGCACCCAAGAGTGAAAAGAGAAATATAAA